GGGCGGGGGTGGGGGTGGGGGTGGGGGTGGCACCCCCAACTTCGGGGACAAATTGAGGGGCCGCTAACCCTGAACCCTGAGTCCTATAAGCCCTAACCCTAAACCCCAAACCCCAAACCCTAGACCCTAAACCCTAAACCCTAAGAAGGCTTAATGGAAGGCTGCACTGCGCAAAGGGTGATTCCCAAAACCCCAAACCCTGAACCCAAAGCCCTAAACCCGGAAACCCCAACCCCCTAAGACCCAAACACCCAAAAACCAACCCTAAACCCTAAACCCTAAACCCTAAACCCTAATCCCTAAAACCCAAAGACCCTAAAACCCTGAAAGGCGTTTCGGGGGGGGGGAATTGGGGTCTTCTTGAGTCCATGGCAGTTGAGGGCTTCAGGGGTTTTTAGGGTTTAGGGTTTAGGGGTTAGGGCTTCAGGGTTTTTAGGGGCGGTTCGGGGAGTTCTCTTTTGGGGGGTTGTTCTACGGGGTGTCTTTGAGGGTGTCTTAGGCGAGTTTTCGGGTGTTTCGGGGTGTTCGGGGTGTTTAGGGGTGTTTTACGGGTGTTGTTTTGGGGTGATTAGGGGGGCTTTGGGTGTTTGAGGGGTGTTTTGGGGGTGTTTCATGGTGTTGTGGGCCTGGGGTTTAGGGGCTAAAGGAAGAGAACTCTGGGGCCCTTGTGGCAAACGCAAGGGTTTAGGACTCAGGGCTTAAAGAGCCTCACTCGCGCACCTTCAACGCCGCGAGCTCCTAAACCACAAGGCCTAAATTGGGGCTTAGGGTTTGGGTTTAGGGTTGAGGGTTCAGGGTTTAGGGTTCAGGGTTTATGGCTTAGGGTTGAGAAGGTTAAGGGTTTAGGGTGCAGGTAGCCCCAGAACCGCGCGCCAAGGCGCTGGAATTGGCTCGCAATATGCACCGGCTGCCGGCAGGTGAACAGCTGCTTTTGGACCCTCGGGCTTTGTGGCCGTTTTGTTTTTTTTTTTCTCAGGTTTAGGTATGGGAATCAGGGTTTGGGGTGTGAAGTTATAGGTTTGACAAGTTTGAGGGGGTTCTCAAATGACTTGAGCCGTAGGGTCTCAGATTTTGCGCGTTTTAGGTTGGCGTCAGATCTTGGCGTCAGATCATGGTTCGCTCGTATCCCGAGCCGCCTGTTCCTTGCGAGGCTGTTTTCGATAATCTGCCTCTCAGACTAGGGGCACCCAAGGATCTAGTAGCAGAGCCTATGTTGGGGTGGGTACCTCGTGTGGAGTTTGCAACCCGGTTTCTACATCCGGGTTTAGGGCTTAAAGGGTTCAGGGGCGTGGGGTGTAGTCCTGACCTTCAGAACCACGCGATTGCACGGCTGGCCCCGGTCTACTTGGAGGTTCATGGTACTTATTAACCAACGATAACTGTACTTATAACTGTACTTATGACCATATTAGGGCACTTAAGGGGCTTATAAGTGCGTTATAAGTACAGGTATGATCAGACATTCTGCTGAGGAGGCGCTAAGACGAGGGGCTATGTGGAGCGCGTGGTCGGTGGCAGCCATGGAACCTCGAAGATCACCCTCACAGTCCACGACGCCACTAGGGTTTAGGGTTTAGGGTTTAGGGTTCAGGGTTTAGGGTTTAGGGTTTAGGGTTTTAGGGTTTAGGGATGTAATCCATGTGCATCTTGTGCGCTCAGCCGCGCAGCTTGGGTTCCCGGCTCATGGGTTGCGAGGCCTTGAGGGACTGAGGCTTCCCTTCGTCCAGCCCAGACCTGGGAACACTGTGTTCAAGGTCACACCTGTGGTCATCCTTCCAACTTCACCCACTGCCAACTAGGTGTCCTCCAAAAACGCCGATCTTTGACCTTTCTGAGTGTCTCATGCTGGTTGCCGGCTGCTTGCCTGGTGGAGCCTCTTGCCTTCAGCCTCTCTCCGTTTGCTGGCCGAGACTTCGGGGGCTCCGGAGCTTCAGCCCTCAGGCTCGGGTTTAGGGTTTAGGGTTTAGGGTTTAGGGTTTAGGGTTTAGGGTTTAGGGTTTAGGGTTTAGGGTTTAGGGTTTAGGGTTTCGGGTTTCAGGGTCTGGCGGCCTGCCGGAGATTTGCAGCCTCCTGCCTGTTGCCTCCCATCCCTTCGGCGCGCCCATCCCCTGGGCTGCTGATCCAGACCTTGGTGCGGCGTTGGCGAGGTGCACTAGCAAAGAAGAACTTCAACAAAACCCTCAACGGCCCTACTCCCCAAAAAACCAAAAAGGAAGCTGATGAGCTGCATCTTTCTCCTCTGCAACGTGGCATTCCTGGTAGTACTTTGGCTGAGAATGGAAGGCATCCTGGTTGGGGTATGAGGGTTCTCGGGGCTTCAGGGTTTTGCCCCGAAGCCCCAAACCTTCCCCAGTTTCCTGGGACTAGGGCCTGGGAATGACTTGCAAAGCACAAGCAGGATCGCGCAAGTGCGTGACACATCCGTGGTTTAGGTCCAAGGGGCTTCAGTAGCGGGGGCCAGGTTTTCGTCAAAATTTCGGGAAGCACCTCAGCACGAGCTGCGCTGTAGTAGCCAGCGTTTTTTCGCTTTGGAGTGCGGCTTCCTTTTTGGGGGGTGAGGCAGCCCTCGTTTTCGGCAGCGATGCAGCTCCAAATCCGAATCCTTCACCCCAAGCCCTAGACTCCCTCCTGGTTCCTTTTTAGAGCAGCACCCTTGCTAGCCTGAGTCCTCAAACCCTAAACCCTAAACCCCCCCCTGGTTCAATCCGAGGTTCTGGGAAACCTGCTTGGGTACTTGTGAACCAATTATAACTGTACTTACAACTGTGCCTATAGCCATACTAGGGCACTTAAGGGGCTTAGAAGTGGGTTAGGTACAGTTTTTAATTGGTTAATGAGTACCATGAACCTCCAAGTAGAAGCTACCGAGGTCATGGCATTCCTGCACGACGCGACGTCCTGGCAGTCAGGGGAGACCCTTGGCAACTCCGCCAGAGTGGCTTCCGAGATCGGAAGTGCCTTGCTCCCCAAACTCTAAACCCTCAACCCCAAACCTTAAACCCTCAACCCCAGACCCTAAACCCTCAACCCTAAACCCTAAACCGTAAACTGTAAACTTACTTCGTGCCCAAAGCCCTAAGCCCTGAACCCTCAACTTCAAGCCCCCTGGGTGGGAAGCTCGTTCTCCTGAACAGGTTCCCCTCCATAAGCAACTTTGAGCTAGACTCCCTCAACTGGGGTTTTGGGAATAGGGTTTAGGGTTTAGGGTTTGAGGTTTGCGGCTAGAACATATCCCTAGGGAGCGCCGCTCAACCTAGAGCCCCAAAAGCCTAAGCGTTGAAAGCTCTGGACTACGTACCCTTCTTTAGGGTTTAGGGTTTCGTGTTTAGGACCCTAAGGCCTACATAAACCCCCAGGCCTAAACCCTAACTAAAACCTAAACCCCTAAACCCCCAAAGCCCTAAACCCTAAACCCTAACTAAACCCTAACTAAACCCTAAACCCCTAAACCCCCAAAGCCGAAAGAGCCGAAGCCAGAAGCCCAGGACTGACTACGCGCACGCAGCGTTGTACCTGGGTGTCGAGGTGCCCACACCAGAGGTTGTTTAGGGCTTAGGATTTAGGGTTTAGGGTTTAGGGTTTAGGGAGGGACGTTGATGAACTTGAGCTCGAGCGTTTAGGGGTTCAGGGGTTTAGGGGTTCAGGGGTTTAGGGGTTCTGGGGTTTAGGGGCTTGGGGGTTTAGGGGTTTAGGGGTTTCGGGGTTCGGGTTTAGGGTTAGGGTTTAGGGGTTAGGGGTTCAGGGGTTTAGGGTTTAGGGATGTAGGGCTTTAGGGTGTAAGAGTTTAGAGGTTTAGAGGTTTAGGGTTTGGGGGTTTAGGGTTTAGGGTTCAGGGGGTTAGGGGTTTGGTTTAGGGTCGACCCAAGCTCTAAATCCTAAAACCGTGGAACCCTGAAACCTACGTCCCAAAACCCTATCCGCGAGGCCGTGTTCCTCTTCTTCTTCATCACGGAGCTGCGGATGCGCTACCGCATGCTGCTTCGGGGCGTGCCCAAAGTCTGGTTCACCGAAGGTTGGGGCTTGGGGCCCTCATCCCCACACCCGGAACCCTAAATCTTAAACCCTAAATCCTGAACCCTAAATCCTGAACCCAGGATTCCTGAACCCTAAATCCTGAACCCTAAATCCTGAACCCTACCCTAAACCCTGGGGAGCTAACTGAGGCGTCTTTGCTTGTAGGCACACTTTTTTAGAGCTCAGGGGTTTGCGGTCGGGATTTCGGCTTCGTAGAAACGGGTCTTTTTCTAAACCCTAAACCCTAAACCCTAAACCCTAAACCCTAAACCCTAAACCCTAAACCCTAAACCCTAAACCCTAAACCCTAAACCCTAAACCCTAAACCCCAAACCCTAAACCCTAAACCCTAAACCCTAAACCCTAAACCCTGAACCCTGACCCCTAAACCCTTCAAGAGGGTTTAGGGTTCAGTGCAGGTGATACCTGCAGGCAGATCCTCGAGGACATCCCGAAGCAGCTCGGCCGCTGGCATCCTCTCTTTTTCGAGCTCGTTTAGGGTTTAGGGTTTAGGGTTTAGGTTTTAGGGTTTAGGGTTTAGGGTTTAGGGTTTAGGGCTCTCAAGCTTTCAGCCCAAACCCCGAAACCCCCAAAGCTGTTTCCATGTTTCCATTCCATCTGGAAGCTACTCAAAAAAGAGACTACATTGACTCCCCCCACCGAACGCACCGTCTAGAGCTAAAAGCCCGCGGTCCTCAAGATGAACTTGGGACGAGGCAAGACAGATTTCAGGCCTAAGCCGTGAAGCGGGTGTTCCGAGTGAGGGCCCGTTTTTGGGGGAGTTAGGTACCCCTCAAGAGTAGAACAGCTCCCCCTCCCGCGCCCCCCCCCCCCCCCCCCCTCCCCCCCCCCTCCCCCCCCCCTCCCCCCCCCCCCCCTCCCCCCCCCTCCCCGCCATCGCCATATTGCATTCCATATTACATTGCAGGACATTACGGTACTTTTATTTTGCTACGCTGCCATACGCTATTTTGCCATTCTTGGACATGAGCTATGTTTTCTTGCTGTGCCGAGTTTTGTGTGTGAATGCTCGTTATGTTAGAGTATGCCATGTCGCTTGTTTTGTTGTTATACTATGTGAAGTCATGTTACATCGTGATCCATTATGTTATGTCATACTGGGTGGTTGTGCTAGCTGCAAGCCAAGGCACTGCTCCATCTTCACCGAGTCTGGCTGGAACATCTACGATGCCTTCGCCATCTTTATTGGCTTGCTAGATCCCGGCCTCACATCAGAGCTAGATTGTGCTTGGAGGCAACCTTTCAGCTTGGTTGGTTATAATGATAAGGGCTTTTTGAATCAACAGATTCTGGGGGCAGGTCAAAGACAGTCTTCAAGCACGAAGCCTCCCGTTCTGAGAAACAAGCCCCGACACCAAATCTGGGGTCTTTATAAAGATCTTGAGAAAGTTGCCTGTTCTTGAGTCGCATCCCTGTGACGAGCACTACCTTGCTTTTTTTCCGGGGGGGGGGGTTGCATAGGGGGATGCTTTTGGGATCCCATGGCGAAGGACAGCGTTGTGCTGAACTTTGTGTGGCAGCCAGGACACAGGCCTCTTGGCGGCCTCAGACTTCAGAGAGGATGTAGGGTTTAGACTTTATTTTGTGTTTAGGGTTTAGGGTTTAGGGTTTACGGTTTAGGCTTAGGGTTTAGGGTTTAGGGTTTAGGGGGGCTTTAAGGGTTAAGGTCTCAGGGGTTTACGGGTCTAGAGTCTGCGTGTTTAGGGGGTTTTACGGATTGAAGCTTTTAGGGCTTACATAGGGTTTCGTGTGAAAATAGAACCTCAGCCCCCCAATGTAGTTCCCTGAGCAAGTGTTGGGAGCTAGTTCGAGATCCTCCCACCTAAGCCCTAATCCCCTAAGCCCCACACCGGGAGTTTCAGATGAGTGTTCAGGAGGGTCAGGAGGGTAGTAGACCATTTTAAGGCGCACGTTCCCCACGTTGGAGTCGGCTTGAGCGCCCCATTCCTTGAACCCTGAACCCGAACCTTCAAGCACGTGGCCTTAAGACCTTGAAGGCCCAACTAGGAAACCCAAGCGTAGAGGTTCTCAATCTTGAGGTTCCCTACATCTCCTCGCAGGGGGCCTCCTGCTGTAGATTGCATTGCTGCGGGCATTTTTGCGCACATTTTTCATTTGGGTTTCAAGGGGAAGGCGACGAAGAAACTCCTCGAACCAAGCAACGTCACACCTCTGAATTGTAGAGGTAAGGCGCACAGCTTCTTGAGCGCCTGGGGTTTGGGGTTAGGGTTTAGGGATTAGGGGTGAACTCTGGACCCTGAACCCTTAAGCCCTAAACCCCTGAACCCCAGGTTCTTGCTGCTGCTGCTCCCGGTGCTGCAGGTCTTGCGCTTCGGGCGCTTCTTCCCAGAGCTTGGGACGATGCTCGGCGGGTTCGGGGCTTGGGCTTTAGGGAGTTTGTAGGGGTGGGGTTCAGGATTAGGAGTTTGTAGGGGTTTAGGAAGGGTTTGGGGGCGGTTGTTAGGGGCTTTCAGAGGGTGTATAGGCTTAGGTTTAGGGTTCTTCGGGCTACGGGATGTTTATTCGTGATGACGTGGTCACTGTTCGAAGAGGTCAAGAGTCAAGAGGCAGACAATACCGAGCCCTGGAGCTTCGTGTCCTATTTCGCGCTGTCAATATAGAGGCGCTCTCTTTTTCTCCAGGGATCAAACCCTAACGAAACCCTTGACCCTAAACCCTAAAACCTACACCCTATACCCTAAGGCCATGAACTGCCCCCCCTCCTCGGCCCTCTACACCCTTCCTGAGAGAAAAGGACGATGCGTGGCATCTCGGGAGCAATGCTGCAGGGGCGCATGTACTGGGCCATGATGCTACTGGCGCTGATGATCTACGCCTTCGGGGTGCCCCGGAGGTTTTAGGGTTTTAGGGTTTTTAGGTTTTTAGGGTTTGGGGCTTGAGGGTTTAGGGCATCCTCCCCCAAACAGAAAGAGTCAGTTCATAATCTTTCTAGCCCCCTAACCTTCATAGCCCCACATCCCTCTAAACCTGTAGCCCCTCCTAACGCCCCTCCATCCCCAAAGAGGCCAATACCCCTAAATTCAGGAATACATTAAATCATATTCAGGATCCCTCTATGAGTTAAGGTAGATAGCTTAGTGAAGGGATCTTGGGCTCTTGGGGTGCCCCTCCCCAAGGTGCTCAGCGTCAACTTCTTCAGCTTGGCGTTTCCGACGGATCCTGTGCGGGAGCCATCAGCTGCAGGGGCACTTGGAGGTTCATGGCACTTCTTAACCAATGTTAACTGTACTGAGAACTGTACTTATAACCATATTCGTGCACTTAAGGGACCAACTATAAGTACCCTGGACCTCCAAGCAGCCGGGAAGGCAGGCTTCGAGGAGCTGTGTCCTTTTTGGGGGGGCGGTTTCGGGTTTTGTTTCGGGGGTTCAAGAGGGGGGGGAGGGGTTGTTTAGGGTTTCTTGTGGGTTTTAGGGGTTTTAGGCGTTTTGCGGTGTTGGGGTTTCCGGGTTTTGTGGTTTTGTGGTTACGGCCTTACTTTGGGGATTAGGGATTTAGGGCAATTTAGGTGCTTTACAGGCAACTGTGATTCCTGAAACTCCGTTTGGTTCAAGGAACCCTAAACCCTAAACCCTAAACCCTAAACCCTAAACACTAAACCCTAAACCCTAAACCCTAAACCCTAAACCCTAGACCCTAAACCCTAAACCCTAAACCCTAAACCCTAAACCCTAAACCCTGTAGAAGGCACAGAGCACCGGGTACTTTGTGCTTCAGCACGGATTGCTGGGCTCTAGTTCGTTATCATCAACATGTACAACTACTCTTACTCGTAGTCCTGCCCGTACTCTTGCTCCTGCTCTTACTCTGGCTCTTACTCTTGCTTTCTTGAAGCATGGTTTTGAATGTTGTTTCTTGTTGTTTTGTTTTTGTTTTCACTAGTACTCAGTTTCATTATAGATGGGTGGGGCTTTTCATGTGTTTTGGTTGCCGTTGAGATCTTAAGGCCAATGAACATTTTGGGGGGTTTGGCTGCACTTAGAGCTCTTCCCGGATCCTAAACCCTAAGCCCTACATCGACACCAAGGAGCAGATGTTTGATGCAGTGCCGTCCGCGATGTTTACACTGTCCCTCGAGATGGTCTGAGAAAGGGTTTAGGGTTTATGGGCATGGCTCTATTGAAGATTCGGCTACCGGTTTCACCAGCATTCTCTTCTATTGTTGGCAGAGGTGGGAGGAGGGGGGTGGAACTAGGTTCTCTTATAAACCAACCTCATCCTTGCCAAAAAGGAGGGCATCCTTTAATTCCGAGGTTGGTTCGGGGAATTCATGCGTGATCCTCACCCCGTTCGCACCCTTGCTCCCCAATCAATTCTGGACCGTGTCTGGTGGCACCCACTCGCTCCCGAATTCCCGCCAAATATGCTGGACACTAACTCACGGTAGTCAGAGAGGTCTGATCCATCGGGAAGGATCACCCTTGCTGGAGCTGTAGCAGTTCAACTCAGCCTCAAACACAATGAACCTAGGGAACCTACATCCAGTTCAAGGTTCAGGATCAATAAGAGTAATCAGTGCTGGGTCAGTATCAGTTTATATATATATATGATACATATATGTATATATATATATACATATATGATATGTATGATATATATATATATATATATGCGTTCGGCTGCTATCAATTGGGGGTGTTGGTGCTTTTCCGCGGCATCCAGGAGTGTCATGTAAGGGCTGTAAGGGAGGGTTTAGGGTTTAGGGGTTTAGGGTTTAGGGTTTAGGGTTTAAGGTTTAGGGTTTGACATCAGCGTTCCAGACATGTGCACGAAAGGGCTTGTGTTCATGCGCGGGCACAGCGTACTTCTGCAGAAGCGGGTGCCCGCTCGCTCTGAGTTTCTCTGAACTTGCGTGCTTGTTTCTCTGTTCTTATGTACACATGCCCAAAAGAAAGGCATGTCCAAAAGCTTCGCAGGAGCAGTGTTTTAGAAGCTTTTACGCCCGGAAGGTGCTGGTAGGCCGGGTGCCGGAGATCGTGTTGTGTGCTTGGCGGACCTCCGCAGCCACAGGCTCCTAAACCCCAAAAGTAATGTCGGCCAAAGGAAGCTCTGAACCGGGCAGAGTAAACGCAAACCCACCCCCAAACAGCAGAAGCCTTAGATGCCCCAAAGCCCTGCACCTTAAGAGTGATCTAGGGGAGAAGATGCCCCGCCCTAAACCATGAAAGTGTTGCTGGGCGCAGTAGGCGATAGTGTGCAGACTTGTGGCTTGCAAAGAATATCGACCAGACGATGCCGAGAAGACACTGGCCCTTGAACCTTCACAGAGAGCGCCCAGGTTTCACTTTGCCACGCTGGAGGACTGCACCGGATGCGTTTGGAGGGAGAAGATTCGTCGCAGCAGGTGCTCAAGGGCCAACCCTGCACCCCAAATTTTGTCTGGCATGCCGGGGGGCTTTCGGGATTTTCGGGTTTAGGGTTTCCGCTGGGTCTGAACACAAGTTTTGTGGGTCCGGGGATAAGCGCCACTTCTGCGACAAGATCTCTGAACACCGAATTTGGTGAATTTTCCGGCAGGAATCTATTTCAAGTATTAACAACTCTTTTGTGATCACCAAGATATCAGGCTTTGGACAACCTACCTAACATAATGGAAATCGCTCATGAACCACCCACTTGAGACGTGTCACCACAACATGACAGTTTAGGGTTGTTTAGGGTTGAGGGTTTTAGGGTTGAGGGTTCCGGGTTTAGGGTTGCGAGATCCTGTGAGGACTACACGAGCACCATCCGCCACTTCATATCCGTTGGGACCACCGAAGCTTCTTCGTAGCTGAATGAGTATAGTCATCCTTGAATAGATAGATTTGTTTTTTTTGGGGGTTTTTGACGTTTCCCAGAACCCCATGCATAGAATCTTTGAACCCGTACATAGAATATTTGAGGAACCCGTACATAGAATCTTTGAACCCTACATGGAATATTTGCGGGATCATGTTTCAGACAGCTTCTGGGTGCCCTTTCGGGGGCCTCCTGCAGGCCTCCTGCTATTAAGAAGGGGGAACATCCCAATCTGTAGGGTTTTGGGTTTTAGGGTTTAAGGTTTAAGGTTTAGGGTTTAGGGTTTAAGGTTTAGGGTTTAGGGTTTAGGGTTGAGGGTTTAGGGTTTAGGGTTTAGGGTTTTGGGGCTCAGCAACTAAGGCTTACCTCGTTGCCTGTAGCATTTTGACCTTCATCGTCGTGGCGCACTTCGCCCTGCTCCGCAGCTGCCGAAGAAGACCCTCGAGCCTCAACCCTGAAACCCTAAGCCCTAAACCCTAAGCCCTAAACCCTAAACCCTAAACCAAAAACCCTAAACCCTAAACCAAAAACCCTAAGCCCTAAGCCCTAAACCCTAAACCCGAGAGACCCGAACCTTTTCTGGGTTTTGGGTTTAGAATCAGGGCACAGACCCCGACCCCTGAACTCGCCCTCTGGCACCAGATGCTTAGAGCAAAATACTTACATGCGTTTCAATGTGAATGCTAGTGTTGAGACTGGTATTGCGATTGAAGACTGGCATGTATAACATATACACACAGACGTATACACACATTCAAGCTTCTTATCGGATGAGGTTCCTGTGCTTTTGAGTAAGCAAAGGAGTTCCAGTTTCACATGTATGTTACGAGCCCCTAATACCTAAGCCCCCAAGATCCTAAACCCTAAGCCCTAAGCCCTAAGCCCTAAGTAAGCCCTAAGCCCTAAACCCTAAACCCTAAACCCTAAACCCTAAACCCTAAACCCTAAACCCTAAACCCTAAACCCTAAACCCTAAACCTAAACCCTAAACCCTAAACCCTAAGCCCTCTGAGGCTCAACATCCTGACGGCCATTCTGGTCGACAGCATCTTGGACATCTTGCCCAAGAAGAGCGCCGCGCGCCTGGCCAGCGAGAAGAAGCAGCTGGTGGAACGCCTCTACAAGGCCAGGCGTACTTGTTTAGGGTTTAGGGTTTAGGGTTTAGGGTTTAGGGTTTAGGGTTTAGGGTTCAGGGTTTAGGGTTTAGGGTTTAGGGCTGCTTGGAGGTTCATGGTACTTATTAACCAATAATAACGGTACTTATAACCCACTTAAGTTCCCTAGTATGGCGACAAGTACAGTTAAAAGCACAGTGACAGGCGTAAACCTCAAACCTCAACCCTAAGCCCCCAAACCCCTGAGCATAACCTCAAAACCTTGGACCCTTGCATTTAGGGTCTGAACCCTAAACCCTAAACCCTCGCCCTAAACCCTCAACCCTAAAACCCTTAGGACTTAGGAGCTGTGGGCTCTCAGGTTTGAAGCTGAGCTTCCCCAGCTCTTGCCCCCTGAGCGTGTTGGTTGGGTTTAGGGACTCTAACGCTTCAGAGTTTAGGGATTTAGGGTTTAGGGTTTCATGGTTTAGGGTTTAGGGTTTCGGGATCATAAGTTAAGGGTGTAGGGTTCCAGGATATTAGTTAGGGTTTAGGCCCCCCCCCACCCCCCTCTCCCCCTCTCCACCTCCCTGTGTGGTGGTGGTGGCGGCGGCGGCCGGGTTTAGGGATTTAGGGCTTTGGGGATATTCTGTTTTTCGCTCAGCTCCTGGTTCTTGGGCGCAGGGTTTGTGGGGGCGGGGTGCAGTGTGTGGGGTTTGGGGTGGCATGGGGTGGGGGGGGGGGCGGGGTTTACATGGGGGGGGGGGGAGCGCGGACGTATAAAGGGAGATATCAGGTACCTACTGCCCACTGGTCTTGATTATAGTGTTTCTTGGGAGTATCAAGGAATTATCTTGGCATTCATTTTACCTCCTGTATTGCCCCAAATGCAAATGCCGCAAGAGGCCTCCTTTTACAGCGTTCGGTGCACGACAGGTGTGTGGAGACGTCGACTCCGATGAGGACCGACGGGTTAGATTCTCAGACAAGGAGCAATCCCCGCAAAACCCGATCCTTACACCCTTGCCTTCAAAGTCAGAAGGCACCCTAAATCTTCAACCCTAAGCCCTAAGCCCACTGGCAAGATTGGGTCGCAGCTCCTGTTTTGGGGTAGAGACCCTGACCCGTGATTGACAATTGCTTCTAATCCTTGGGTAAACTGCTTAGGCAGGCCGATACTTTCGGATGTTGGCGAAACCGTCGGTCATTTTGGGCATCTTGGCTTCTCAGATAGGTGTCAACCTAAGCACTAGGAAGCCTAAATCCTAACGCCTCCGTCCCCGGCCTGGTTTCCAAAAACCGAAATCGTGAGCCCAACAGCCCAGCGCTCAGGTCGGTTGCTTACTGATTGCTAGGGGACCGTTGTTGGAGAGGATTTTTCCTTAAAGCCTTCTAGTTGGTATATGCTTACATAAGTCCTAACAGTTCGTCAAGACCCTAGAGGTCTTGCTTGCTTAAGCCTCGACCGGTTTTGGGGCTTAGGGTTCCTAAAGCCCTAAAACCCTGAACCCTAAACCCCAAACCCTAAACCCTCAACGCAAACTCTAAACCCTGAACCCTAAACCCTAAAGCCGAAACCCTAAACCCTGAGCTGTCAGCCGCAGACAGGATGGCCATCTCACGTGGGACGAGTTCCGAGCTGCAGAAGACAACTCCTGGAAGGCAGCTTGCACCGACAGGGCTTAAAGGTATGCCGTCTCCGTAGGGTTTAGGGTTCAGGGTTTAGGGTTTAGGGTTTAGGCAAAGGGTTTTGGGTTTAGGGTTTAGGGTTTAGAGCTCAGGGTTCAGGGTTTAGCTATGTGGGGGTTTACGATGTTAGGGGTACCTCATTGGGGTCCTTGTTCCTACTACTTGCAGGTCCATAGGGGTCCCCTGTTTTCGTAAACTCCCAAATAATTTTGGAGTTCGTAAGACCCCAGGGATTATGCAAAGACAAGTTTTTCCATGAAGGTAAGAGTAGATCGCAGGACGCGATTCTGGGTATGTGGGGTCCTTTTATTCGTAGGGCCCCTTTTGGGTCGCTGTTGCTATATGTCTCTTGTATTTAGGGCGCCCAAAACAGCCGTAAGGTGTCCCGGTCTCTCTCTCTAAGTTGGATCCCTTTTGATTGCTTGTTGAACAATGGAGTGTACCGTTCAGGATTAAAAGGTTTTAGGGGTGTAGCGAGTTACGGGTTTATGGCTCTAGGGGTTTAGGGGTCCTGGGTTGAGGGGAATTAGTGGGTTTAGGGGTTTACGGGGTTAGGGCTTTTAATTTAGGGCTTTTAATTTACGGCTTTAGGGCTTTAGGGCTTTAGGGCTTTAGGGCTTTAGGGCTTCAGGGCTTTAGGGCTTTAGGGCTTTAGGGCTTTAGGGCTTTAGGGGGTTTAGTGGTTTAGGGGCTTAGGGTGGACGAAGACGAAGACCTTCCACCCTGAGCACAGACTTCAGCACCCACCATATCTGGGGGCTTTCTGGCTTAGGGCTTGAGGGCAATAGGCTTTGGGGTTTTACAAGGGCTGTCGGCGTTTTAGGTGTTTAGGGCTTTAGGGGCTTTAGGGGCTTTAGGGGCTTTAGGGGCTTTAGGGGCTTTAGGGGCTTTAGGGGCTTTAGGGGCTTTAGGGGCTTTAGGGGCTTTAGGGGCTTTAGGGGCTTTAGGGGCTTTAGGGGCTTTAGGGGCTTTAGGGGCTTTAGGGGCTTTAGGCTAGGGGCCTTAGGGGCTTTAGGGGCTTTCGGGGCCTTAGGGGCTTTAGGGGCTTTCGGGGCTTTGGGGCTTTAGGGGCTTTAGGGGCTTTAGGGGCTCTAGGGGCTTTAGGGACTTTAGGGGCTTTAGGGGCTTTAGGGCTTCTGGGGGCTTGGAAAACAATGGGGTTTCGCAAGTTGCGCCTGAGGTGCTCGCTCTCTCTCTCTCTCTTTCTCTCTCTCTCTCTCTTTCTTTCTCTCTCTCTCTCTATCTGTATATCGATCGTATCACGTATAGACCTTTGGTTTAGGAAGAGCGCATGTAGGAACATGTTTCAGGCGCATCCCGACTCATCAGGAAATGCTGGGGGTTATATAAGGGTTATCTCGGGATCAATCTTTGGGTCTTGCGTATAAGGGGCCACGATTGCCCCTTTGCTTTTGGGGCATGGAGGTTGGGGCCACGATTTCCTAAGGAAGAGCTGCGAAAGCTGCAGATTTCAGAGATGGATGTCGAGAAGCTGCTGCTGGTCTCTTTGAGTCGGCTGAGGGTGGGCATTGGGTTCAGGGTTCAGGGTTTCGGGTTGAGGGTTTGGGGTTTGGGGTTTAGGGTTAGAGTTCAGGGTTTAGGGTTTAGGGTGTAGGGTGTAGGGTTTATAGGGTTCTGGGATGGCTTATATGACGCTTGCCCTAGCGGTGTGGAGTCTTCGCCACTCTAGACGCCTCTAAACCTGAACCCCCTGGCCCACGCCCTAAACCCTACACCCTAACCCCAAACCCTAAACCCTGAACCCTAAACCCCAAACCCTAAACCCTGAACCCTAAACCCTAAACCTTGACCTAGGACCTCCTTAACTGAACCATCCCTTGGCCAGCAGAGGTTTGGAATCATCGACGTGTCGGACTGCGGCAAGGTCTGGGTGCGCAGAATGCGTAGGGGTTTCTAGGGCCCTGTGTAAGGGACTCTTCTTAAGAGACTCTTCGAGCAGTCACATTATGAGAGGTGGCCCTAATGTGGAACAAGCCCCATGTTGATCTTTACCGATGAGTACCCACATCTAAGCCTTGCATTGGCCGTTTACTTGCCTTCCGTTCCGCCCCCGCCCCGCTTGGCCCAGCTGGAGGGGTTGTGGATCCTGACTCTTCAGTAGCACCTTCTATAACCCTAGTCGCGACCCAGAACACCTCGTCTCCTGCGCGGAACTCTGGTTTCGTTTTGTATAAAATTAGTCAGTAATTTCGCATATTTGACGAAATATAAAATGTATTCCAGTGAAGAGGCACTGACTGCGGAGCTGCTTTCGGGTTGAGGGTTTGGTGTTTAGAGTTGGGGGCTCGATTTCAACCCCTGCACCCCGAAACCCTCCCGAAAACACTAAACCCTCAACCCTCAACCCGGAACTGAAGCAGGTGGCTGCGGCGCGGTTCGTTCATGGCTTGATGCGCATGCGCCTCGGCCGCCACTTGGGGTAACTGTGCAGTAAATCGACCAGTATTCCCGGAGGGCCTGGAGCTTTCACAACCCGTTTGCATCCAGATGTTTTCGTGGTCCGGCGTTCAGGATAGATACAATCTCTCACCATGCTGCATACCTGTTCAAGAAAGGGCATGCGCCACATTTCCACTTAAATGCGGACCCAACACCTTCCCAGGAACACTTTCTTCACCCAAAACCCAAAACCCTAAACCCTAAACCCGAAGCCCTAAACCCTAAACCCTAAACCCTAAACCCGAAACACTGAAACCACAACCCCTTAAACCTTTCAGCCCAGCCATGGCTTCCCCAAGCCTCAGCCGAAGCCGTTTTGTGGCTTCAGTGGCGTTCCGAGATCGCTAGATGAGCGCAGCCTCAAGTCTCTAAGCCCCTTATACATCTAGGGTTTAGGGTTTAGGGTTTAGGGTTTAGGGTTTAGGGTTTAGGGTTTAGGGTTTAGGGACGAATGTGCCCAGGTTACCCGGACCTCCCGAGCGGCGTGAGCTTCTCGAGCTGGAGTATGACATGCACAGGCTCTTTCTCTTAGGGTTTAGGGTTTAGAGGGTTGAGGGTTGAGGGTTTAGGGTTTAGGGTTTAGGGTTTAGGGGTTGACGCATGTAGGGTTTGCATGTTTAGGGTTTTAGGGCGGGCTCAGGGTTTGCAGGTTTAGGGTTTGGGCTAGATGTTGGGGGTCTAGAGTGTACTTGTTTTTGGTATTTATTGTGTGTTTAGGGTTTCCTTGAGCCCGCGTGGCAATGCGTAGGTGCTCCGAACGGGGAAAGGTGAAACAGCTGGAGAAGGAAATTCCCTGGCATCTGACTCCCCGGAAGAGGAGCCCCTGTACTAACAGGCGGAGGCCAAAGAGAGGGCGGATCACATCAATTTTCCGAGCCACAAGTTCGGGCCACATATCTTGTGCGCCCGGGAAGCTTACCGGGGCAAGGCTCTGTGTGGAGGGACAACATGACCCCGACCTCGGGGTCAAAGATTTGGCGGTGGATGTGCGCACCGGTCGCTACAGCTCTTCCACAAATTCAAAAATCGCCCCAGGCTTCTTGTGTTTTTGAAAGGTGTTCGGGGTTAGGGGTTTCGGGGTTTCGGGTTTAGGCTTTGCGGTGCTGAGTTTCTGGTGTAGGGTCTGGGGTCTGACCGTTGAGGTCTTGGTTGACGTTGAAGGGGTTTAGTGCTGATATCCTGTTTGAAACCCACGTCCTTAATTCTGTTCATTAAGCCCTAAACTCAAGGCCTCGGCGGACCCCTGCAGTGGCAGCCTCGTGCTCGACAACTTTTTTTGGGGCTTCTCTGAACCTGCCGGGGTGTCCCTGGCACCTGGGAACCCACTCCAAAAAAAGAAAAAAGCAAGGACCTTCTGAGATGCTGGGATGGCGCACTATCGGTACCACCCACTGGACGGAAGAAGGTTTTTGAAGTAGGCACCTAAACCTTAAACGGAATAGGTTAGGGTGGTTTTGCCGTCTGAGACGGCGTGGGGTGGCATAAAAGTTAGATGGCCCTCCACAATCGGGCCATAGCTGCTCTTGGAATTTCACGAAGCTAGTTTGCATCCCAACCTTCACAGCCTTTGCCCCATATCACAGCAAACCCAAAACCCCAAACCCTAAATCCTAAACACTAAACATTGCCCGACTTAATAAGTCTGCGGCTCGTACAAGTCCCTGGTGCCTAGCCCGAACACAAAAACCCTGAATCCCTAAAGCTGGCAAACCGAGGGCTTTAGGGGGGAGAGGAAGTAGAGGGGTTGAGGAGCTTGCAGTTTCAGGTTTAGGGTTCAGGGTTTTAAGGTTTAGGGTTTAGGGTTTAGGATTTCGGGTTTAGGGTTTAGGGTTTAGGGTGTAGGAGCTCTGCCAGGATGTGGAACATGCTTGCGTCGGGCCAGGACCTGCCCCAGCCCGAAAGTCTTCCATCCCCAGGCTCGTAGCCTCTAAGCATTCCTAAACCCTAAAGCCTAAACCCTCAACCCTAAACCCTACACCCTAAACCCCAAACCCCAAACCCTAAACCCTAAACCCTCCAAGCCCCAAATCCGAAACCCTGAACCCTAAACCCCTGAATCCTAAACCCCTATACGTCAAGGTTCAGGGCTCAGGCGCATCTCATTCATCCTATTATGAAGTTCTTAGCATTATTAGATTGGAATTATTAGCAGTATTAGCATTATTAGCATTATTAGCATTATTAGCATTATTAGCATTATTAGCATTATTAGCATTATTAGCATTATTAGCATTACTTGCATGACTTGCATTATCAGCATGAGTAGCATTATTAGCATTTTTAGCATGATTAGCATCATTAGCATTCTGAAAATTGTTAGAATTAAGTTTTCTTGTAATGAGAGATTGTGCGCAGTGCGAACGAAAGCCGCCTGAACCCCTGAAGCGAAAGCCTTCTGCACTCCTTCTGGGTTTAGGGTTTGGGGTTTAGGGTTTAGGGTTTGGGGTACCCTAAACCCAAAACCCTAAACCCTCAACCCTCAACCCTAAACCCTAAACCCTCCAAGCCCCAAATCCGAAACCCGAAACCCTAAACCCTAAACCCTACATCCGAGAGGGGTGGTTTTGATCGTTCTCAGACGCGAGGACCAGATGCAGGAGACTCTGTCCCAGCTTTCGGAGGAGCTGGGCGGCCTGCGTGAGGACAGGCTTTTGTTTTGGGTTTTGGGTTTGGGGTTTAGGGTTTAGGGTTTAGGGGGAGGGTTCTTTTGGTTTAGGGTTCAGGGCCTCTTGTTGGGAACTTTAAGGGATCAATTGCCTCCAAAAGGACGTCACTTTTGGGGGGATCTGAGGTGCGAGTTCCCAAAATTCCCCACGAAGAGCTCCGGGTAGAGCTCTGGGGGGCACCCGCGTCTTCAGGTAGGGTTTTGGGCCACCTGAGCCCTAAAACCTCGACCCTAAGCCCCGAACCCTGAACTCCGAAACCTCCAAGACCTCCGAAGCTCCTAAACCTCTCCGAAACCTCCGAAACCTGCAAAACCCTAAACCCCAAACCTCCAAAACCTCCGAAACCTTAAGCTAAACCCTAAACCCTAAACCCTAAACCCTAAACCCTAAACCCTAAACCCTAAACCCTAAACCCTAAACCCTAAACCCTAAACCCTAAACCCTAAACCCTAAACCTAACCCTAAACCCTAAACCCTAAACCCTAAACCCTAAACCCTAAACCCTAAACCCTAAACCCTAAACCCTAAACCCTAAACCCTAAACCTAAACCTTAACTTCGAAGGAGATTCGCGACAAGCTCAGCGCAGACCTGAAGCAGAGCCGAGCGGAGCTTCTGGGAGAGTTGAGGCTTCCCTTGACCTTGTGGGTTGAGGGTTGAGGGTTTAGGGTTTAGGGTTTAGGGTGAGGGTTGAGGGTTTAGGGTTTGGGGTTTAGGGTTTAGAATGTAGATAATTTGGGTTGAGGGTTCAGGGTTGAGGGACTCGGGCCTAGGGTTTTTCAGTCTAGCAGCGGGTTTAGGTTTAGGGGGTTTGGGGCAATTAGATTTTAGGGCGTTTTCCTAAACCTAAACCCTGAACCCTAAACCCTTGACCCAAAACCCTAATCTCTAGATCCTAAACCCTAAACCCTAAACCCTAAACCCTAAACCCTAAACCCTAAACCCTAAACCCTAAACCCTAAACCCTAAACCCTAAACCCTAAACCCTAAACCCTAAACCCTAAACCCTAAACCCTAAACCCTAAACCCTAAACCCATAAACCCTAAACCCTAAACCCTAAACCCTAAACCCTAAACCCTAAACCCTAAACCCTAAACCCTAAACCCTAAACCCTAAACCCTAAACCCTAAACCCTAAACCCAAAGCTACCCGGCCTTCGCAGGCAGGTGGCCGCCAGCTCGGTAGCGGTGCCGCCGCAAGCCCCCAGGAGGCGCTGCCAGCCGGCTTCGGTTTAGGGGGGTGAGGGTTAGAGTTTGGGGCGTAGGGTTTGGGGTTTAGGGTTTAGGGTTTAGGGTTTAGGGTTTAGGGTTTAGGGTTTGGTGCACCTTCGGGGAAGTTAAGCGCTAGGCTTCCTACAGCGCCCAGTAGTATCCTTGTCCCGTTTGTTAGTGCTGTTTACACAAAACAGCCCTTCCGAATTACCAGCTCCCCTTAAGCACCTTAACCCGTTCAGCCCATAACCCCAAATCTTGAAGACTCAATAACGAATCATAGCCTCGAAGAATCAAGGTGTTTAACATCTTAGCATTTGGAGCTTTAGGGCTTGTAGTGTTTAGGGTTTAGCGCTCCCGGCCTACCTACTAGTTGCTGGCGGTTGCCGCCAATGTTCAGCACGGAAAGACGCCTCAAACAAAAAGGCTTAAACCCTAAGGCTTGGGATGGTCCCCCCTTCATCGAACAGTCCTCAGTAGGGATTAGAATAGGGGGGGGACTATAATCCCTAAACCCTAAACCCTAAACCCTAAACCCTAAACCCTAAACCCTAAACCCTAAACCCTAAACCCTAAACCCTAAACCCTAAACCCTAAACCCTGAACCCTGAACCCTGAACCCTGATACCCTGAACCCTAAATCCCAACCTGAGGCTCCAACCAGAAGTTGAAGCCTTAAACCCCCAAACACCAAAGTTGCTTCAAGAGGTCTTAGAGTTTAGGGTTTAGGGTTTAGGGTTTTGTAGCCCCTAAACCCAAAACCCCAGACCCTCAACCTACTAACCCCTCAGCCCTAAACCCTAAACCCTATGGAGCTTGGAAGCGCCTTGCCCGACACAAAGCTCGACCCGGAAAGCCGATAGATTAGAACATATTAGAACTTCCGGCTTAGAGTTTTGGATTTAGGGTTTAGGGTTTAGGTTTTAGGGTTTAGGGTTTAGGGGGGTTTGGGGGTTTCATGGTTTCAGGGTTTCAGGGTTTTTGGTGAAGTCTTGCCTAGCCACACCGAAGACCTCCTGCGACCAGTTCCCCAAATCCCCTAAACACCCTCTGAAACCCTGCAAACCCTCCAAAACCTTTGATCTTAAAACACCATAAACCCTCTAAACCCTCTAAACCCTCTGAACCCTCTCAACCTTCCAAACCCTCTAAACCCTCGAAACCCCATAAACCCTCTAAACCCTCCAAACCCCACAAACCCTGTAGACCCTACAAAACCTCTAAACTTAAAACCCTCTAAACCCTCTAAAGCGTCTAAACCCTCTGAACACCCTACAAACTCCCCCAACCCTACAAACCCTGATATACCTGAAAAAACCCATGAACACTCTCAACCCTGCAAACCCTATAAACCCCCCGAAGCCCCATGAACCCGAAGCACTGCTGAAACCTGGCAGCAATCTAAGGTTAAAGCCATGGGCCGGTATTCTGTATATTGCGTATGAGGCTTATATCGCAAGGGATCCAAATTAAGTGCCCATACTCAAGACCCTATACCCTCTAAACCCTAAACCCCCCAACCCGAGACCCTAAGCTCTAAACGCCTGGAAGGAAGACCGGGGCGAAGAAGCTCCAAGCCCTGGTCAAGGCCTGCCGGGTTTGGGGCCTGGGTTTGGGGTTTAGGGTTTAGGGTTTGGGGGGTTTAGGGTGTGGGGTTTAGGGTTTTGGGGTTTAGTGTTTGGGGTCCGGGGTGGTTTTGGGCTCCAATGTGTGGGACTTCACGGGAAAACTCTGCGGAGTTGGGTTGCCCAAGCCCGAAGCCACCGCAAGCCCGTGGAGAAAAGGCAGTTTTGGGGTGGCGCTATCTGCCCTAAACCCTAAACCCTAATTAAACCCTAAACCCTAAACCCTAAACCCTAAACCCTAAACCCTAAACCCTAAACCCTAAACCCTAAACCCTAAACCCTAAACCCTAAACCCTAAACCCTAAACCCTAAACCCTAAACCCTAAACCCCTTAAACCCTTAGGCCCTAAACCCTTCAGCCCTGAACCCGTAAGAAGCCCGGAGCCCATCTGAATGACACGACCCCGGAGGCGGGAAGGTCGGTGAGGAAGGCTGCAAAGCAGCTGGCGGAACTACCGCAGCAGGCCGAGGGGCTTCGAGCTGGGGATGGCAAGCCCAAAGCCCTAAACCCAGGGCTTAGGGTTTAGGGTTTAGGGTTTAGGGTTTAGGGTTCAGGGTTTGGGGTATAGGGTTTAGGGTTTAGGGTTTCGTTGTTTTTTGGGGGTTTAGGGCGTAGGGTTTAAGGCTTAGAGGGTTCCCCCCCAAAGCCCAAAAGCCTTCTCACCTTAAGCGTCTGGGAACCCTAAACCTTAAACCCTTAAACCCTAAACCCTAAACCCTAATCCCTAAACCCTGAACCCTGCACCCGAAACCCTTAAACCCTAAACCCTAAACCCTAAACCCTAAACCCTAAACCCTGAGCCCGAAACCCTTAAACCCTAAACCCTAAACCCTAAACCCTAAACCCTAAACCCTAAACCCTAAACCCTAAACCCTAAACCCTAAACCCTAAACCCTAAACCCACCAGGTCCAACAGCAGCTGGCCGCCAGCGAGCCGCCAGCCTTTCCCAGTCAAGAGGAGATCTTCCAGCAGTTGCAGTCGGGCATGGAGGCCGCTGCCCTTACAGGGTTCAGGGTTTAGGGTTTAGGGTTTGAGGTTGAAGGTTGAGGGTTCAGGGTTTCGGGTTTAGCGTTTCGGGTTTAGGGTTGAGGGTGCTTAGTCCCTGGGGTTTCAGGATCTGCAGTAGTAGGGGGTTAGATAGTGTTCAGGGTTAGGGTGTAGGTTCAGTTCGCTGGCTTTGGGGGTGGGGGGGGGGGGGGGGTTGCCTTTCCCGGGGGGGGGGGGGGGTGGCCGCCCCGCCCGCCCCCCCCCCCCCCCCTCATTCGAGATCCCGAGATTTCATCTCGAAGGCTTGAGTGGCCTGTAACTCAACCGCAAGCCCGAAGTTCCATACTTCTTAACTCTATATCCGCTATCCGCCCCCTAAACCCTGAACCCTAAACCCTAAACCGTAAACCCTAAAGCCTAAAGCCTAAAGCCTAAAGCCTAAAGCCTAAAGCCTAAAGCCTAAACCCTAAACCCTAAACCCTAAACCCTAAACCCTAAACCCTAAACCCTAAACCCTAAACCCTAAACCCTAAACCCTAAACCCTAAACCTCCCAAAAGCCTGAACCCGAAACCTTTCAGTGCCTCCTCAGCCCCAGGCCCTCGTCCAGAGCCGCAAGCAGACCCCGCTGGCTCTGGAGGAACCTCGCGCCTCAGGCCGCCCAGGGTTTGGGGTTTAGGGTTTAGGGTTTAGGGTGTAGGGTTTAGGGTTTAGGGTTTAGGGTCGAAAGCTTCGTGAGGTGCGAAGAGCAGCGTTGGCCCGATTGTGGAGGGTTATCTAACACTTTTCTCCCACCCCACACCGTCCCAGTCAGCAAAGCCACAAAACCTATTCCTTTTCCAGGGGCCAGGGGGCCAGAGGGGCCAGAGGGGGTCAGGGGGGCCGACAGGGCAAGGGCCAGGCAAGGCCAGGCAGGGGGACAAGAGCAGCCCCCCTGGGCTCGGGCCCTGGCGGGGTACCCCCCCCAAAAAAATGCCAATGCCCAGAAACAGGACCAAAAACCTAGGACCAATGCTGGAGCCAAAAAGCGTTCCACAAACCGTTCCGCAAGCAACCCGGCGTTTCGCAAACCAGCAAAAACATCCTCAAATCATGCTCACACATTATGTTTGACCTCCAATTCCTTCACTTGGCGCCTGACTGTGTGAAGGCCAAGGCGTGGCTTTCTCAGGACGCTGCGAAACTGGCTTGCAGTTTCACGCGGCGGGGGGGGTTTAGGGTATTTAGGGTATTTACTTTATTATAAGGAGGCAGTGCTGGTCCCGAGGAGAACGTGTTCCGGTTCCGGGCCCATCGTGGGTGCTACCGACCGGCGGGCGAGCGATGTGGGTGGGCTTTCGCCATCGAGGTCGAAGGGCTTAAGCGCCGCCCCAACCTAGGGGGGCGGCCTAGGCCCTGAGGTTAGGGATGGCTAACTGTTGTCGTGTCGTTGGTGCGAGGCCGGATGTCAGGCGGACATCAATACTGGGTATTTCCCGTACCCCTTTTAGACCTCAAATAGAGTAGAATCCCCTTTGAAGGGGCCCCCGACGCCCCAAACACATCCAATTTGTTGGAACTCCGAAGCCAGATCCGCGTCCCCGCAACCCTCAACCCAAAACTTCTAGATCCCTATATAGATCCCTACATTCCTACAACTCAAATCCTTAAACCTCCAACTAAACCCTGAAGTCTTGAGTGTAAGTACACCTCAACATGGGCACTTAAGTGGGAAACCTTGTATTACCCCTTTATATACCTATGATACCCAAGGGCTTTAAATTGGGTAAGGGGCCATATTACCCTCACAGCTTCCTTCGGAATCCAGGCGACAACAAGGCGCCGGAAGTCCACGAAGCGCCTCACGAAGAGGCTGCGGTTGCTGCTGAGGAGCAAACCTGAATTTCCTATGTATTTACGTAGTTGTGTGCCAATCACTCTGTCTATCGGTCTATCTTCCTACCAATCTATCTAACTAATTTATAGCACATAATCCATATAATGTACACCTTTTTGTTTACCACTTCTTCCATGTATAATATGTAATGTAAAATACATGATATAAAACAGGCCGTACATAACCTACAATATATAATTAGATAGCATCCAATTTGTCATAAGATGTAACATTTAGTTTTCTTCACTATGTTCTCTTCATATACATATATATATATATACATATATATGTATGTATAATGGGCAATATACAGCATACAATGGAACAACATATAGTACGATATAGAAGTATTACATGCATGTATTATATCTATATATATATATACATATACAGACACCTACATGTTAACACATACGTAAACATATAAATACACATATACATACAATACACACAGACATAAGTTATGCATGTTTCAACAATCGATTCGAGTACGACATGATGGCACCCTCGAAACCTCAAGTGCCTGAGCAGCAACAGCCTGGAAGGTTGCCCCCCCACCGCCAGCCGCCCGATCGCCAGAAGCCCGGCCTGAGGCGCGGGGGGCACGGGGGGCACGGAGTGGTTTATTTTTTTTGAACCCTACAACCCCTCCTAAGCCTTTAAGCCCGAGGCCGGCTGAACCCGAAAGCCATGAACCCCAAAGCTCCCCCTGTATCAAACAAAGCGCGAAGCCCTACACTGTAACCAGCCCCCTTCCCCCCCCCCCTTTCCCCCCCCAAAGCCCACTGGCCGACCGCCACACACGACACACAGAAGAAAGCAGCAACAGCAACATCAGGAACAAGAACCACCAGAACAAGCACACGAGCAATAAGAACAAGAGAGCAATCAATAACAAGAACAAAACACAATTCAGAACACCAACAGCAAATAACAAGCAAGAGAGCACCAGCAACGGAAGGTGGAGGCGGCCTCTGCCAGCAGCACCCTCCGGGACGCCCTCCGGGACACTCTCCGGGAGCTGGCCTGTGGCAGCGAGCAGCGGCTCGAGGACTGTCTTTGAAAAGGGGGGGGGGGGTTCTGAGGGTTGCTTTTCAATTTGCTTTAGGGGGTTCTGAGGGATTTTTTTCAAGGGTTCTGAGGGATTTTTTGAAAAAAGGGGTCTCGAAGGGATGGATTTCTGTGTCTAGATGCTTTTTGTTTGAACCTAGCTTTCGAAAAAAACAACTAGCCAGCAAGCTGGCAAGCAATGCACACACAGCAAGCCAGCACCCTAGACCCTAAGCCTTGAACCCTGAAATCCCTGAACCCCAAAATGCCCAAATCCACAAGTCCTCAAACCAGTCCCAAAACGCTAGAATCTCTAAACCCTGAAAGGCCGAATCCCCATTGGGCCTAAGCCCAAACCCCCCAAACCGAAAACAAAACCCCTAAAACCCTTAAACCGAAAACCCCTAAACCCTTGAACTCGCTTCACCCTATGCCCGAACTACCCCTAAACCTCAAATCAAGCCCTAGAATCCCTAACCCAACATCCTCAAACCTTTCAATCCCTAAGCCCTAAGGCCCCCAAAATCCCCAAACCCTAAGCTAAATTCCCTAAGGCCTAGCATCCCGATGCCCTGTAAACCTTAAACCGCAAAACCGCTTGAAGTTCTAGAGTCCCTAAACCCAAACAGCCCTGCATCCTGAAGTCCTAAACCCTGAGACTACTCTTTGCTTAAGAACCCCAAAAGAATAAAACAATCATAATCCCTATACTACCCTTATAAGGAAGAACATTTTTTGTGTTTTTTCGGGTGTTCTTAAGAAACTACTAGAAGACTCTCTGGACTCCCCAAACCCCCCCCCCCCCCAAAGTCCGTACATTCCTAAGAGCCCCAAACGACCTAGACACCCTAGAAACCCCTTTATCCCCACTGCCGTAATTGCCTGAAGCGAAAAACGGACTCAACAAGAAGACTACCCAAAACAACCGACACTAAACCTCTTCGAACAACAGCAGCATCCAGTTTTAAGGGATTTCAGGGTTTAGAGCTCAAAAGGTAATGTTCAGGGGTGCTAGGTTTTGCAGGATTTCGGGCTTGAGGGTCTACATGGTTTTCAGGGCTTCTAGCGCAAGTTTAGATTCATGGCGGTCCTATACTACGAGTTGAGGCAGGCTCCGCCAGAAAGGGATGCTGGGCCTTCTTCCTCACAGGCCAGTAGACGATAAGTTTGAGCTACATCACCCCATTTTGGCGCGCTGTTTTGTTGGGCCAAGGTCGTTGAATTTGTGGCTTTCGCTAGTGCCGTGTGCGCCGTGTGCTAGCTTGGGCGCCCCTGGCTGATCCGCAGAAACCGGGCAACCCTTGCATTTTTAAAGACGTGAACCCCAAACCCCGAACCAAACCGAGGGTGTTCTCGTTTGTTGAAAACCTCCCTTAACCCCTTAGAACCCTAAGCTCTGAGCCCTAAACCCCTATGCCGGGTTTAGGGTTCAAGCCTGAGGGTGCAGCGTTTAGGGTGTGATGACCCTAAACCCCAAACCCCAAACCCCAAACCCCAAACCCTAGACCCTAGACCCTAGACCCTAAACCCTAAACCCCAAACCCCAAACCCTAAACCCTAAACCCTAAACCCTAAACCCTAAACCCTAAACCCTAAACCCTAAACCCAAAACCCTAAACCCCTAGCCCTAAACCCCAAACCCCGAACCCCAAACCCCAAACCCCAAACCCCAAACCCCAAACCCCAAACCCCAAAGCCCAAACCCTAAACCCTAAACCCTAAACCCTAAACCCCTCTTCAGGATCTCCAGCCCCGGAGGCCGCTCCCTCCGCTGCCGCCTCTGCCGCCCAACCTCGGGAGCCCCTTCGGCCACCACGCGCTCCTCAGCGGCGGCGTGTGGGGCGTTTAGGGGGTTCAGGGGGTTTAGGGTTTAGGGTTTAGGGTTTAGGGCTTAGGGTTTAGGGATTGAGGGGTTGAGGGTTTTGGGGGTTTAGGGGCTTAGGGTGTTTTGGGGATGAGGGTTTCGGGTTTGGGGTTTCGGGTTTGGGGTTGTGTTTAGGGCGTTCAGGGGGTTTAGGGTGTTTAGGGTTTTTAGGGTGTTCAGGGTTTTTGGGTTGAGATGTTCCCCCTTATACTAACAGTCCTTAGTAGGGATTATCATCGGGGGTACTATAATCCCTTAAGGACTGTGAGTACAAGAGTGTAGGGTTTATAGGGTTCAGGGGCTTACCAACCCCTCGTCCCGGCAGCCCCAAAGGACCTCGGTACTCAGCCCCAAGAATTCCCAGGCCCCTGCTGGGAGGATCCAAAAAGCAGATCCCCTGAAGGGTTCCTAAGAAAAATGACCCACTTGTAGTATGGGGTGTCTATTTGGGGGCAAACCCTAAACCCTAAACCCTAAACCCTAAACCCTAAACCCTAAACCCTAAACCCTAAACCCTAAACCCTAAACCCTAAACCCTAAACCCTAAACCCTAAACCTGAAACCCTAAACCCTAAACCCTGAACCCTAAACCCTAAACCCTAAACCCTAAACCCTAAACCCTAAACCCTAAACCCTACACCCTAAACCCTAAACCCTAAACCCGAAACCCTAAACCCTAAACCGCATTTTGGATCCCCCAAGGGGTCTGGGTGGTCGATTCCCCCATTTGAGGAACCCGCCACGTGATGATTGAAGGGCTCAAAGGAGGACCTTGGAGGCCTTAAAGCACCTGAATAAGGCCCTAAACCCTCAACTGCAAATCACCCTAAACCCTAAAACCCTAAAACCCTAAATCCTAAACCCTCAACCTCTCCCTAAACCCTAAACCCTAAACCCTAAACCCTAAACCCTAAACCCAAAACCCTAAACCCAAAACCCTAAACCATAAACCCTCAACCTGAAGCCCAGCAACAGGGAAGAAGCATTGCTAACACGAAGCCTTCGCCCCGGTCCCCAAGTCAAGTTTTGGGGCTTCCAAAGGCTCTTCTTAGGTTTCCGCGTTTCGCCCTTATAACCCTAAAGCTAAAACCCTGAAGCCCCAAAGCCCGAACCTTAAACCCTAAACCCTAAACCCTAAACCCTAAACCCTAAACCCTAAACCCTAAACCCTAAACCCTAAACCCTAAACCCTGAACCCTGAACCCTGAACCCTGAACCCTGAACCCTGAACCCTGAACCGTAAACCCTAAACCCTAAACCCTAAACCCTAAACCCTAAACCCTAAACCCGAAACCCCTAAACCCCTAAACCGCTAAACCCCTAGACCCAAACTTCCAAGCCCATCCAGCGCACCCTGCGGCTTAGGCAGGCAGACGCTCGGGCTGTGCCGGCGCTTCGCGAGGCATCGCCACCCCGACGTCCCCCGGTTCCCTGGCTCGAGGTGCGCGCGCTGAGTGGGGTTTCCAGTTTCTGGCCTTTTTGGTTTAGGATTTAGGATTTAAGGTTTAGGGTTTAGGGTAGGGTTAGGGGAGGGGGGTTTAGGTTCAGAATGTAGCACAGGGGTTTGTTTTGAAAGTTGCGCGGCTTTACCCTCTGTAGGCCATGCGTCGAGGCTTTTTATTGGCTGTCTCGCGAATTCCCGAATGGGAAAAGGCTTCAGAGGATGGGTCGCGGGGGGGATGCTCGGTTTTTGGCTTCCAGAATTACTATAGGGGTTGGAATAAGTGCTAATAGTAGTCCTTATGGTCCTGCTATATTTGTACTGTAGTAAACCCCCAAAACCCTGTTCTCATTATTCAGGCGCCTATACTATGTCGCTATCCAAAATATCGACCCCATCCTAAACGCTCAACCGGCACATGCTTTGGACTGCAGGCGTAGGGTTTTTGGGGTGGAGCTGCTGAAAAATATGTTTCTTGCGCATCTTGTGGCACACGGGCAGCTCTCTGAATCGAAAATCCCTGGAAAGCTGCCCCAAGCATAGTTCCCCTAAATCACCCCAAGGGCCCAAAGCGGACTTGCAACGTAGAGGACTGACTACATGGACTTGGGGCCTGAGAAGCTCGACTTAAACCTAACCCTAAACCCTAAACCCAAATCCCTAAACCCTAAACCTTAAACGTCCTGAACCCTTCATCCCACTCTCTCCTTAGTGAAGTCCCGAACTCCTGGCAGGAGTGGCCGCTGAGTGAGCCAGAGCGTACCACTTGGGGGGAACGGCGGCTGGACTAAAGATGCTGCTTCAGGTCTGGTCTAGATCTTACTGGACGCTTTTCGGAAGTCACTTTGACTTGTTTCTGCTTGCATTTTGTGAGAACATCCCCATGTCAGCTGCACCGAGCAACATCAACCGCATCCTCCGCCGTCTACTTGCCACATGCTAAGCCCGAAGCCCGAAATCCAGAATCCTCATTCCAACATTCGAGACGAGAGGGGGCCCCATACGTGCCTGAGAGCATCGCGCCCTGAGCCCTAAACCCTAAATCCTAAACCCTAAACCCTAAACCCTAAACCCTAAACCCTAAACCCTAAATCCTAAACCCTAATCCCTAATCCCTAGCCCCTAAACTCTGATACGCAAGAGAATGCTAAGGCAGTTGGGTTTTTGGAGTGCAGGCCTGCCCCTGGAGTCCTCCCTAAAATCTAAACCCTAAACCCTAAACCCTAACCCTAAACCCAAAACCCAAAACCCTAAACCCTAAACCCCTGAGCTTTGAGCCTCAGGCGGTTGCCGGTTGAGCTGGTGGGGCCTCCCAGTGGCTATAGCGACCGACGGGCGCGAGTGGCTTACGCGCCTTGGCCTTGAAAGCAGCATCCATTCTTGCTTGGGGCTTCAGGTTTAGGGCCTAGGGCTTAAGGTTCAGGGTTTAGGGTTTAGGGTTTAGGGTTAGGGGTGTAGGGCTCTTAATGTCAATGTCCGACATGCCGCCCTACGAAGTATGCACTGAATTCTAAACCCTAAAACCCTAAAACCCTAAAACCCTAAAACCCTAAAACCCTAAAACCCTAAAACCCTAAAACCCTAAAACCCTAAAACCCTAAAACCCTAAACCCTAAACCCTAAACCCTAAACCCTAAACCCTAAACCCTCCAGTGGTTGCTGAGCGGCCGAGGTCCTGTCTTGGATCCGCTTCCAGCGCTGGGCTTCC